TATGAGCCCCTAATAAAATGTTAAAACAAAAAAAAGTTGAGAAACTATGGTAGTTCTACTTCTGCGTCTAATTTGCTATAATACCATAGAGAAATTATTCATCTACGCTAGATTGTCCTTTCCACTCTCCTCTTTCCATTTCTAAATTTTAATTGAATTTTTGTGGTGGCCCCTACATAAGTATTAAATTATAATCCCTATCTGTATCTCAGCCATCAAGTTGATTCTGACTCAAAGTGAATCTAGAACAGAATAGAACTCCTTTGGGTTTCCAAAATTGCACCCTGTGTAGCATTGAGTGAAAGATTAGTTGGCAAGCTTGAACCACTGATCTGTGATTAGCAACCCACTGCTTACCCCACAGCACCACCAGGGCTCCTTTACATATGTACAGGGATATTCTTATCTTTACTGCTCTACCCTCTATACGTGAAAGGATGCAAAGCACATACTATTATTGTTGCTGTGTGCTGCCAATTAGTTTTTGACTGATGGTGACCCGTGTGACAGAGTAGAATGCACCATAAGGTTTTCCTGACTTGTCTGTTACAGAGATCAGATCACAGGTCTCTACTGCAGTGCTGCTCGGTGGGTCCAAATCACCAACCTTCCAGTTAGTAGCTGAATGATCAACTATTGCATCACTAGAGTTTCTTTACTACATAGTAGGGGCACCATAAATATTTGTAACATAAAAATAAATGATGCATCCTAGGTTTCTTCAATTATTTGAATTTTACCAACCCAAAACCATACTCTTAACTTTCTGTGTTCTCATGTGACACTCCTTCCTTTGAAGTACAATTTAAATTCTAATGCCTGACATAAACAAAACAAATTGTAAAAAAAATTATTTTTCTTCCCTGTTACCATCTTATCTAAGGTTTGATGCATAATTATTTTGTAGGTTATAAGAATTTGCTTTATAACATAGTCTGAGTGATTTTCCTATTAGTTTGTAAGGGCTGAAGTGAAAAGATTGTGTATGGTGATCTGAACAAATTCTAACTACTCAAATAGTTTTAAAACTAGACTTCATTAGGAAATTATTGCCCTGTAAAACACGTTCAGTCTTCATATTTGAGCCAGTCATAAGAATAATATATAAAACTTGTCTTCTAGGCTTTCCCTCAAGTATGATTTTCTTAATTCTTAACAGTTGGAGAATTCCTCATACTCACATAAACATCCTTAAGATTCATGTCTGGTTTAAGCCAAAGTGAAAATATGGTAGAATCTATTGAAAATAAATAATAATGTAGTAATTAAAGAAGCTATGTTAGCGTAGTAGTACATATTGGGCTGATAACTGAAAGGTCAGCAGTTCGAAACTACCAGCCATTCCTGGGAGAAAGATTGAGGCATTCTCTTCCTGTAAAGAGTTATAATCTTGGAAAACCACATGCCTTATAAGGTCACATGAGTCAAAATTAACTCAAAGGCAGTGAGTTTTTTGGTTTTTTTTAATTAAAGATTACAAGAAAAAAATGTTGTGTGTCCAAATAACTATATAAGACCACTATTATACTCAAGAAAAAAAGGGGATAAAAGAGTCAAGGAAAGGTTTTTCACACAAAAATGTTGTGTATCATGGATATTAATAAGAACATTTAAAAACCATTTTATTGGCATATAGATTCACATCATACAATTCAGTAGTTCGATCACCTCAAGAAGTTGTATAATTGTCACTATGTGGATTTTAAAATATTTTTTCATTCTTGTGCTCATCTATTAGCTCCCCATTTCCCTCTAGTCTCCCCTCTCAGACCTTCAAGGAACCATTTATGTAATTACTGTTGAGAAAGATTTACCTATCTTGGATTTCGTATACAGAAAAAACATCTAAAAACAGCAAAACCAACAACAGTAACAAAACGTCAGTTGAAAAGAAATTAGAAAATTTTAAAAACAAAAACAAATTTAAAATGGATCACAGGGATACCAAATGTTAGGTGTTGAATTTTAACCTAACTGCATCTGTGAAATTCATCCACATGTATTTCCCCTTTCTACCACTTGTCTGCCAGTTTATCATACTGTGGTGTCTGTGTGTTGTTGTGATGTTGGAAGTCATTTGCTGGTGTTTCAAATGCTAGCAGGGTCAGCCAAAGTGAACGGGTTTCGGTGGAGCTTCCAGACTAAGAACAGACAATTTATAAGGAATTGGCTGCCCACTTGGGAGGAAGTAGCCCCTGAAAACCTTATGAATAGTTTCAAAACATTGTCAGATATTCAAAGCCTAAAGTACGGAAGCAGAAAATTGTTCGAGATTGTGTTGGAGGATGGGCGTCTCAGGGTCAAGGGCACTGGAAATGTGATTGAGGAGAAGCTGGTTTCTCTTAGGAGTGGAGTCATCCATGGGACACGAATTTTGGTAAACCCTGTGGGAGAGAAGCCTTCAAGATCTTCAGTTGCTGATGGATAGGACTCTGAATCAGAAAGTCATTTACTGTGACACTAATAATACAATCGAGGAATCAAGAGCAGTGGTGTGGCATTCATGTCAAAAGGACGTTGCAAAATCTATAATGAAGTACAATGCTGACTGTGATAGGATTATATCTACCCGCCTTCAAAGAAATCCAATCAATACAACTTTACTTAAATTTAAGCACTAATCACAAAAGTTAGTGATGAAGAAATGGAAGAATTCTACCAGTGACTGCAGTCTGAAATTGAGCAAATCCCGATGCACTGATGGCACTCTAGATGCACTGATCATTATTCGTGATTGGAATGCAAAAGTTAGAAACAAGAAGGAACATTAGTTGGAAAATATGAACTTGTTGATAGAAATAAAGCAGGCTTTTGGTATGATTGAACTATTGAATTGTAGGATATGTGGATTGTGTCCCAATACATTTTTAAAAATTTATTATTTTAAAAGATTAAGTTGGAGATCAATGATAGAATGTTGCAAAACCAGTAACTTCATAACAAATACTCTTTTCAAACAAGTCTGTAGGATTGTTGCAGATGCATTTAGGTTAAAAATTAGCACCCTGTCATTTGATCTCCCTTGTGATCCATTGAAATTTGTTACACTTTTTAATATTAACTACTTCCTTTTTATTCAAGATTTTATTTGTTTTACTTTGCAATTTAAAAAAAATTAATCTTTTTCTGTATATGAAATCCAGGATAGGTAAAGCTATAGAGACAGTTACTAGATTAATGATTCTTTGGAGTTATGGCAGGGAAGGTAGGGAGGAAACAAGGAAATAATAATAATGAGTACAGTACAAGAATGAATAAAATGTTCTAAAACTGATTGTGGTGATGATCACTCTTGATATGAAGGAACTATTGAATTTTATATGTGAATTATATGCCAGTAAAACTATTTGAAAAGGATCTTTCGAAGTAAAAATAAAACAAAATAGGTAACATCATGAAAAATGGAGAAAAGGTTGAAGTTGGCAAGGATTTTGCCTTGCTTGGATTCACAGTCAGTGCTCATGGAAGCAGCAGTCAGGACTTCAAAAGACGTGTTGCATTAGGTCAATCTGCACAAGTCCTCTTGACAGTATTGGAAAGCGAGGGCGTTACTTTGAGGACCAAAGTGTCCCTGACTGAAGCTGGCATTTTCCATTGCATCATGTGCGTGTGAAAGTTGGATGTTGAATAAGGAAGACCAAAGAAGAATTGATTATTTGAATTGGCTCTGAAGAAGGATATTGAAAGTACCATGAACTTGTAAAAGGACAAACCAACCTGTGTTTGAAAGAGGTAAGTGCTCCTTGGTGGCAAGGATGGAAAGAATTCCTCTTACATATTTTGGCCATATTGTCAGGAGAGAGCAGTCTTTGGAGAAGGACCTGATGCTAGGTAGAGTAGAGGGGCAGCCTAAAAGAGGAAGGGCCTCCACAAGATGGATTGAGAGCGGCTGCAACAGTGGACTCAGACATAGGAACAATTGTAAAGATTGCACAGGACCGAGTAGTGTTTCCTTCTGTGTAGGTTCGCCATGGGTTGGAACTGACTGGACAGCATCTAACAACATTTCCCCCTTTTTTCTTTGAGCATCTCCTTGGTCTTTGTTTTTACTTGATGAGCATTTTTGGGGTGAGGTGACAATGGCTTCACCTGACTTGGTTGATGTTTGCTTTGGGGGTTGTAAGAATACTGGTACCACAATGTCTCCTCACCAGTCATGCCATTGGGGAAAAAGTCGGGTCACTTCAGAGCTGTTCTTTCAAAGCATGCCATGTTTCCACTCGAAGCTCTCTTTTCTCGTCAGTCAGAACCCACGGCACAAATTTTGCAGTGACCTTTCTCATTCCCAACTCTTGCACTAAAATTCACTGAACCGAGCTCCAAGGTAGTCCAGATAACTTCCCCATCTCTTCAGTGGTCCCTCATAGGTCTTCAAACACAAATGTTTGTCATCAGTCTACATTTCACTTCTTTGGAAACGAGAAAACCACACATACACTTAAGTTTTTCCCATAGCACTGTCCTTGTAAGCTGTGTTCAACATCACAACAGTTTCTGCGGCATTTTTCCTAAGCGGATACAAAATTTCACAGCGACACACTGTTCTAAATTGGCCATCACAAAATACTGGTTTAAGCGAAACTGCTTTTAGGAAAAAATGCACTATGACCAGAGAGAAGCTTCCAAGGTGACGCCACTGGAAAATACTGGTTTAAGCGGAAACTGCTTTTAGGAAAAAATTCAGTGACCAGAGAGAAGCTTCCAAGGTGACCCCTCTGGGGGCACTAACTCAGAGCGAGTTGCTCAGTTCTCACCTAGCTGGGGAAAATGCATACTGAAAAAGACCCCTGAGCAGAACTTTTTTCCATTTTTTTTTTTTTGTAGGGAAGGGGGTGTACCCCTAGTATGTCATGATATTTTTCTTTTTAGATCTCTTACTTGGGATTCTCGGCTTATTGAATACTTGTTTTCTCTATTTTTTATGTTGGGGAAATTTTCTTCTTTATTTCTCATACTTTAAGAAACTTGAGTACTTTATGTTAATATTCTTGCTGCAAGGAATTACAGGATATTCCTTCTAGTGGACTTTCTCTGGTAGTTGCTAAGATCTTCCTTTGCTTGTTGATTAATAAGAACTTTGTGTTTTCTTTTTGTATATGTTTATGTTTCACTAGTTTTTATCTAACAGAGACTACTTTGGTTTTTTTAAATAAAGTCTAATTTATTAATTTTAAAATAAAAACTAGTGCTCGCTTTGGCAGCACATATACTAAAATAAAAACTAAGCAATTTTACTTAATTCATTTTTGTACCTCTTAATTGATGGACTAAAAGTTTTGTTCATTTGTTTGTTTTATAGAAGCTGAAGTCTTTTTTTAAAGAATATGGACAAATCGAATCTGTACGATTCCGTTCTCTGGTATGTGTCCTTCCCCCTTACCTTACATTGCATAATCCTAAAACTAATGCATTTAAATCAGACTACTAACGTCTGTGTTAGTCGGAGTAGCACTTGAATTTCATCTTTGAACCAATAGGTTACAAATCTAGCTCCAAAGTAGACTTGCTTTTATATCTCATCTCTTGCTGTCTCTTTAACTTTATTAAGCAATTTAATGAATTTACATAATAAAATTCGATTTTTTGTTTCTAAAGACAATAATATCCTTTGCAATGTGGATGGGTGCCCTTTATTTGTTGTGTCAATTCAGCAAACAGAGAAGTAATAATTATTGAATAGCATTTACAGACTCATGCTTTCCCATCATATATCTTATATACATCTAATATATTCTTATTGTATGCATAATATTGATCCACTATGGAAAGTTTGTATGACTGGTGTCAACAACAATGATCCTCTAAGCATAGTCAGATGATGCATTTATTTTTTTATGAAATCAATTTAATGTTAAAACATTTTAGAAGTGAGCAGTATTTTATTTTACCAGGTAAACATTCTGTAGTCTCATTCCTTGGAGAGTGAAAAATATGCTTTGTTCGTGTTACTTATATTTTTGTTTTATTTTTGCTTTTTAAATGCACACTTGACTTCAAATTCAAAAGCCAAACCTACTGCTATTAAGTTTACTCTGACTCACTGTATCCATTCTGGGATGGATAATTTGTTGTAAGTGCTGTCCATTATGCTGTAGGATGTTTAATAACATCCTGGCCACTAAATTTTAGTAGCACTCTCACTCTCCTTCCTCAGGCATTGCCGGTGCCCAGGGGTCGTACAGAATCACCCACTGCTCTAAAAGTCGCTATTCCCCAACGTTGTGATACAGTCTTCATAATAGCTTTCAAGATGGTTAGTTCCCACTTTTTCATACACATTTTGTCTGTCCTCCTTGGTCACAAATCCATGTAACAAATCCCTACCTGACCCACTCACTAGGATGCTCTACTTGCACCCTAGCTTTACACAACAAATCTACTTAACCTGAGTGTAACCCCAAAACTAATCTGTGTTGCCCCATGATTTTCTATTTATAACCACTACCATCATCAATATGTCTTAGTTACACATAGACTACACACTTTTGTAAGTTTTTTTTTTTTTAAATACTTCTATTGGGGGCTCTTACATCTCTTACACATACATTCATCCATTATGTCAAGTACATTTATACATATGTGGCCATCATCATTTTACCTTTGGAAGCTTTTTCCATTTATGGTGCCTTCCCTAGATAAGCCACCCTATTTACATTTTCCCACCTAAATTCATAATACCTCCTGCCAGATAATTTCAGTGATTCTTTATGGATCTTAGTTAGCTCCAGTCTACTTTATCCAACATACTAATGTCAATTTAATTTTCCTAAAGTGCTTTTTCCTAGGCTCCTTTCCACTACTCCCAAACCACATTATTATTCACACTCACACTCCTTGCTATTACTTTATCACCCCTAGGAAAGCTGCACTGATGCTTCCTGTCCCTTTTCCTTAAGTTTGGTGACCTTGCTGTGCACACTATAACACCCTATCCTTTGTTATAGTGCTTAGTATTCTTTGTAAATGTTGGTGACACTATCTACCTCACCAAACCAAAAACTGGTTATAAATAACCTTGTTTGCCTTGCTTATCTTCCAGGTCCCCAGCACTGGCACATTATACTCCTTAAATATTGATAAAATTATATAAAACATTTAAATTATTCTCATTGCTAGTAATGTAAAGTCCTCGGTGCCTACTTAACAGTTCACATGGTGGCCCCACAATACCTGTTGAGCTTCTCCACCAGTTCTATGTTCCTCTACACATGAATAGTGCCCCACCCAAGTAGCTGCCTTTTTTTCTTGACCACTTTGATCCTTTTGCAAGAGAAAGATGAGGCTTTCTGTTCCAGTAAAGGTTTACAGCCTTGGAAACCCACAGAGCAGTTCTACTCTCTTTGTCAGGTCAGTATGAGTTAGAATCAACTCAGTAACAGTGAGTTTAGTTTTCTTTTTAGGTCTTTTTTTTTAGTCCTTTTGCTTTGCTTTAGTCCTTTTGCTTATCTGTTTTCAGAATCCTCTTGGTGGGCTCATTTTGCCCATCAAGTTACCATGTGTTTTTCACTTGAGTTTTAGGTACTTTATGCCACTAGATGATATATTTTTTCTATACATATTTGCCCTCTATTATATTAGTCATTAATACTCTCAGTCTTAGCACACAGAAAATTCCCAGTACATTTTTTTTTTAATGACTGTCATTCATTTGGAACCCTAGTGTCATAGTGGTTACTCATTCGGCTATGATCTTAAAGGTTTGAAGTTCTAAACCACTAGCCACTCTCCAAGGATTTCTATTCCCGTAAACAGTTACAGTCTTGGAAATTCATAGGGGCAGTACTACCCTGTCTCATAGGGTCACTATGAGTCAGCATCCGCTGTATGGCAGATTGGAGTGTTTGTGTGTTTTTTAGATTGGAGTTTTTTGTCATTCATTTATTATATCTTGTGCTATTTCTCTGTTAATATTTTTAGAGTCTATTTTAGAGTCTTGTTAATATTTTAGAGTCTAGTTAATATTTTAGAGTCTAGCAATTAGCACCATGAACAAAAAAGTCATCTGATAGTGTTAGCTTAGAAACTACCAGATGTCTAAGAAAGAAAACAAATCTTCAGAGATCTGTAAGTGTCCTAAATAAAGATTTACATTCATCAGGTCTTTGAAAGCAAACAACTGGGTGTTATTTTAGTCAATTTACACTGTCGCTATGATCACCATCTGTACATACTTCTAAAATACTCTTATTAATCCAAATGAAATAAATGATAATACCTATTTCCATAACTTACTCATTTAATTATATTTTAACATCACGTTAAAGATAAAATACCAATTTGGAAAGCTTGCTTTTTTTTTGACATTCATAAAGGATTTTACTCATATTTTGCTCATGACATCAGTGTATCATCATAACTAGAGCCTCTGTGAGGCATCTGACACTGATTGAGGTCCTATTGTCTGTACTTCTATGTAACTTCTGTGTAGGTTATCTGAGAGTCTGCCTGTTAGGGATGAGTATGACATTATCATTGAAAGTTTTAACTTAAGTCACAAGGTCCCCTTCATAGAGTCTCTTGCTGCCGTGGAATTGATTCTGACTCGTAGTGACCCTATAAGATAGAGCAGATCTGCTCCAGTGGACTTCCAAGCATTCAAATCTTGACAGGAGTAGAAAGCGTCATCTTTCTCTGGTGGAATAGCTGCTGTCTAATACACATGTACTACTCCACTAGGGCTCCTTTCCGTATAGTCTAGGACAGGTGTGTCTGGTTGTATTTTTTCCTAGAGTGTTTTTACAAAGTATCAGTTAAATATCAAAACTTTAATGAGCATTTAATAAATTTGAGATTATAGTTCAAATGCTGAATTTTCTTTAATAATGTTTTCCCCCTCCCACTTCTAAAAGATTCCAGCAGATGGGACTTTATCCAAAAAATTGGCAGCCATAAAGTAAGTTTTCAGAGAGAGGTAATAATATTAAATTCTTTCATTTTAGTTAAAAGTTGAGATAATTTTTTAATGATTTTGTAGCGCTTTATTGGCTAGCATGCCATTTTGACTAATTTTGGGTAGCTTTAGTGATAAATGCTTTTATTTGTAAGATGTTCATCATTAAGGCTTAATATAAAAGGTAGGGTCATAGAATAAAATGTAAGGTTATTTTTGTACTTCAAAAATGCTGTGAGAAGTTTCAAACTTGTTTATTAATGGAGTATATAGTGCAGTGTTTCCAAAATAAGTAATAACTGCCCCCTGGGGCAGGGGGAGCTGCAAAAACAGTTACTATCCTTGATCCTACATTATATGGGCTATTATAGTATAAACGTTTTTAATTGCCAGTGGGGGGTTCCGAGTAATTTTTTTTTTTCTGAAACAGGGTGGTAGGCCAATTAAGTTTGGGAACCTATAATACATTGTTTAGATGGAAAATAAAGTTTTATGCCCAGAGTTTCCCAGTACAAGTCAGAAATACTGTATTTCATCAGTTTCAAATCACATTTTCTCATGTATAAAATCATGATAATATCTTCAAATCTAATAGTGCCTCATAGTTCCTGGGGACCTGGGCTGAAGTCAAGTTCTCTTAGAGAGGAATGCTGTTTGCTTCCGTCTCGTGGGATTGCCACCAGCCAGAGACTGCTTTAAGTTCTCTGTAGAGGTTTTTGGACTGTAATAATAGTATGATTTAGGTGCGAATTCTCAGGGGGCCCCCTCCTTTTTTTTAAATCCATGGCCAAAGATGAGATATATACTTTTCTTTCCTCTCTTTATTTTATGACATTGTCCTTTCTCATTTACCTAAAGCTTTATGCAAGGTTTCCTATTCAGCCCCCTTTTTCTGTGTTTTTTTCCCCCAATGATACATAAAATGATGTAAAACAATTACATCTGTCTTTATAGTAGATTGGGATCTTTGATGGCATACTGGGTTAGTTGCAACTGGCCCTTTGGACATAAGAGCAAGTTCTTTTCTAGGTCAATTTCTAACTTGTAATTATAGTTGTCAGTGACACCCTTTCCTATCAACAGTCAAACATCTACATATTACTTGACTGCCCCAAAACTAAACTAGTAGCCTACTGTTGACCTTATCTATAATATAAACAGTTAACCAATACATTTTATGTATTATATATTTTATAAAAAGTTATTTTGTAAAAATTGCAAGGTCTTCATGCCTGATGGTGTAATGGCAATGGTGGCTTCATGAATTTCTTTTTTGCTAATAATTGTCTTTATGCTGGATTCATTTATGGCAAGCAACTATAGTTACAAACTTCAACCTATAGTACATATCAAACAATTCAGCATTTTCTTGTAATATCAGGGCTTTTTTATGCTTCTTGGGAGCATTTCTAACATCACTATAGGCATTTCATGCGGATCCCATGGTATTCAAAATTTACATTATTGCACTAATCAGGATAAAAATATGCAATTAACTAGAAAGATTAATTGCCTATGTGGAAATAATTTAAAAATCTGCTTGTAAGTGGACCTATGTAGTTCAAACCTGTATTGTTCAAGGCTCAACTATATTTGGCAGGCAGGGTCTTGCTGGGTTTTTTTCTTAATGTTGGGTATAGTTTGTAAGTGTTTAGTGATGTCTACAATAAAGTCTGTTGAGGCTGCCAAACATGTAGGCCCTCTTGTATGAATGTCATTTTGCATGCTGTATAAGGAAGAAAACTTGGTAAGAAGCAGCCCTTCTTTGCTGGGGGAGTGGGAGGGCATACAAGATTTTATTTTTGCATGAAGTAACTAAAATCCCAAAGCCTAAATTTAGGTAGAAATGAGATTCTGGTAGAAGTATTTAACAGTGGTAGCTAGGAATTCTTGGTGGGTTATGTAAAAAAAAATGGGGTTTTCTTACTGTGGTTGCCATTGGTTCCCCTATTTTCCCCATTTTTTAATGTAAAATTGAATTATCTGAATAGGTACTCAAGTAGTGGTTCCCCCCCCCCAAAAAAAAAGAGAGAGAAATGCAATAGAGTTTCTTTGCTGTACTTTTTCTCTACCCCATAGGCAACTGCTATTTCTGTTTATCATGTAGCCTTCTAGAGATATTTTATGCATTGAGCAATCAATAGGAACACCCCCCAACACACACATAACTTTCTAAAAAAAGTTATACACATACTTTTTTGATGAAATGGTAGCATATTATGCATATTATTCCATATCCCCCCCACTCACATAATTGTAATTTGAAAGTTTGTCTGTATCAGTATAAAAAGTGCTTCCACGTTCCTTTTTAGAGCATTTTAGGGTTGCTGTGAATGCCAGTCAACTCATTAGTAGGTTTTAGTATGTATTCTTGAAGGTGTACCAAAATGTATTTTTCTAGCAAGTTTTCTATTAATGGAAACTTGTTGGGTTTCTGTTTGGTTGCTATTCCATAAAATACTGGAGTAGATTATTTTATTATTAAGTTGTAAAGCATTCTTTATATATTCTGAATATAAGACCTTTGTCTGTTAAAAGTATTCAGTCTCTAGGTTTTGAATGCCCAACTTAAATAAAATACAATTTTAATTTGCCCTTTAAGCAAGACTTGAACCAATTTGACAGACCTATTTGATTTGGTTCTTTCCTGAGGAACTGAGATAGAAACAGACCACCTTAGTTTTACAGTGTGTGTGATTTGTCATGATAACCAGAATGGGAAAAATTAATGTTTGAAGCCCTACAATGGGAGATCTGGAGTGGGTAACGTGGACCTGTTCAGGAGCCTGCTTAAGACTGTATTATTGGCAGGACTAGGGAGAACCACACATGTTCCATTTGGAGTGATAGTCCACTGTCTTTGAACAGGGAGGGTGGTTTGGCTCAAAATTGTATCATGTTTATGTAAATTTACCCTATCTGTAAAACAAGTCAATATCCCACTAGTGTGGAGTAGATTGCAGCTTATAGCAATCCAAAGGGCAGAGTAGAACTGCCATATAAAGTTTATAAGACCACAAACTTTATGGACGATAACTACCACATCTTTCCCCTGTAGAGCAACTGGTGGGTTTGAACCTTTTGATTAGCAACCCAGTACCTTAAACACCGTGTCTTCAGGGTTCCTTTGAACCAATTTCTGCTCAAAAATACTTTCTTCATCATTGCCTTCACAAATTCCTATGAGAACTAGTAGCTACCAGCATGACACCAATCCCTGAAAACATTAAGGACTAGACACTCTAATCTTAGTTGCATCTCTGTCTCACACACTAACATAAGTGAAAGGTAATTTAGAATTTTCCCTCCCACGATTACTGAAAAATAAAATGCACCTATAGAAAACTATACAAAATGTGTAATTTAGTGAATTATTAAAAGGTCAGTAATCTAGACATCTACGTGACCCTCAATTACGAACCCTCCAAAGCTAACAACGGTGCACTCACTGCTAATAATGATTATAGGAATCATTCATTGGTTGTGTGTCTGTGTGGTTTTATTACCCAAGTATGGATTCCTAGACATAGCTGGTCCCCCAGGTCTGCAGTGTGAAACTACCAGCTGCTCTTAGGAGAAAGACATAGCTTTCTACTCTTGTAAACAGTTAAAGTCTCAGAAACTCACTGAGGCAGTTCTACCTGCCGTATAGGGTTGCTGTGGGTTGACATCCACTCAGTGGCAGTGTGTTTGCCTTTTGGTTTCATAGTTGGTCTTTTTCTTTTGAGTCTAGTTTAATCTAAGGGAATCCCTTCCTATCTTTCTTTAATTTACAGTTTGTTCAAGAATTTAGGATGTTTATCTGTCTTAAGTTCCTACCTTAGAGTTTCTATCCTTAAAGTTCTCAAGGATTAATGCCTTATGGTGGTCTGCCACCAATTTTATCACTGTTATGATTTCCTTTTTCTTTTTGTCATCCTATCTGACCCATTTTTCTTCTTTTTTAATCATTTTATTGGAAGCTCTTACAGATGTAACAATTCGTAATTCAGTTAGATCAAGCATGTTTATACAATTGTTGCCACCATCAATTTGAAAACATTTTCATTCTTCTTGAACTCTTGGTATCAATTCCCCTTTATACCCTCTTTCCCTCACCCAGGAGCCCTTATTGTTATGTTATATATATTATAATTTTTATTACTACTCATGTCTTACATTAGCGGTTTTCAACCTGTGGGTCGCAACCCCTTTGGGGGTCGAACAACCCTTTCACAGGGGTCACACCATCGGAAAACACAAATACTTCACAGTATATAATTACATATTGTTTTGCGATTAATCACTATGCTTTAATTATGTTTAATTATGTTCAATTTGTAACAATGAAAATACATCTTGCATATTAGATATTTACATTACAATTCATAACAGCAAAATTACAATTATGAAGTAGCAACCAAAATAAATTTATAGTTGGGGTCACCACAACATGAGTAACTGTATTAAAGGGTCGCAGCATTAAGAAGGTTGAGAGCCACTGTTTATACCATCCAATATAAGCATTCACCTACAATTCTGTAATTTGTTCCCCTCTAGTGGGATTATACAGTCATCATTTCTATCAGCTCCATCGTCTCTCCCCTTTCTCCCCCTCTTGCCCTCCCCTCGGAATCATTACTCCTGTTAATGTTTCTGAGTGTTATCTAGCATGGCTTTCACACATCACGTGATCTTAATTATACACATGAGCATACTCATGTCTAACTAGGTTAATGAGGTAAGACAAGAACCGTAATAGTGAAGGGGGGAATATTAAAGAACTAGAGAACAGCTGTGTGTTTCAACAGTGCTATACTGCATCCTGGATTTAGCATCCCTGTCATGTGGCCCTTCTGTGAGGGATTGTCCAGTTAGCTTCACGTGGGTTTGGGGCCTGCAATTTGTCCAGATTCCTTCACTTCTGTTTGATTGTATAGGGTTTTTTGTTGTATTTTTACCATCATGATTTCTAAGAAGGGGTGGATTACATATTTGGGCCAATATCTGTATATGTGCTACTTTTTGCATTATTGCTATATATTCAAAGAGTGAAAATCTCCTCAGTATTTTCTTGTGTATATTGAAAGTAGAAAAAAATTACAGTTATTTAAATTTGTGATTTAAAGTGATTACAAGGTTAATAATTAATTTTTTTGTGTGTGTGTTAGACGTAAAATTCATCCCGATCAGAAAACTATTAATGCTTACGTTGTGTTTAAGGATGACAGTGCTGCTATAAAAGCATTAAAAAGGTAATCTTTTTTTTAAATTTAATTTTAAATCATTTTATTAGGGGGTCATACAACTCATCATAATCCATACATACATCCATTGTGTAAAGCACATTTGTACATTCATTGCCTTCATCATTCTCAAAACATTTGCTTTCTACTTGAACCTTTGGGATCAGCTCATTTTTCCCTTCCCTCCTCAATTCCCCCTCCCTCATGAGCCCTTGATAATTTATAAATTATTATTTTGTCATCTCTTACACTGTCCCACGTCTCCCTTCACCCCAAAAAGGTAATCTTATCTGTTCGGAATTTGAACAGAATTAATGTTTATGCATGTTTGGGTGCATTTTTTATTCTTTATTTTTACTTTAGACGTAATATTACTGTTTCACTAAAAGCATTAAAGAGTTTAAAAGTTATAAATTCATATTATACAGTCAGAGTTTTAATTATGTTACAAAGAAATATTGCAATCATCGCCACAGTCAATTTTAAGAACATTTGTTCGTTCTCGTACTCATTAGCTCCTATTTTCCCCCAGTCTATCCTTCCATTACCCTAAGAAGCTATTGATCCAGTTATTGTCTTTGTAGATTTGCCTATCCTGGATTTCATGGTCAGAAAAACATACAAAACAAAAACATACAAATCAACAACAATAATAAACTACAACAGAAAAACCTAAATTGGAAAGAAAGCAAAGAATTTTAGAAACTCAAACAAATTTAAAATGGGTCAAAAGGGAGAACAAATGATAAAGTATTCAATTTTAACCTAATTGTCTGCTTTAATCCACTTTCCAGTACCCTTTGTCCAATAGATTGACTGCTCCCATTCCTGGTCAGTGGTCAGAGGATTCACTAGAGGCGTAATCCATGTGGGGACCCTATAAATGGAATTGGGCTTTTGATGTCACCCCTAGCCTTTTGCAAATTGGAGGTTCAGATTTGGAATTTTTTATTTACAGTTCTGGGATCACCCAGGCTGATGTGGTGTACTGCTTCCTTTTGAACTTAGCTGACATCTCACTTAGATGGCTGCTTGTTTTAAAACAAGCCTTTAAGATAACCAGACACTACTCTTTCTAATAGCCAGGCACTCTCTGATTTCTTCACCATAGTTTGCTATAGTGCCCGTATCTTCAGTGTTTATGTACATTTTTAACACCCCACTCTACCTTGTATTTATAGAAATGGGACCCAGATTGCAGATGGGTTTCGTATTAGAGTTGATCTTGCATCTCAGACAGCATCTGTAAGTAATATGTAATTTTAAAAAATAACTACATAGCCTAGTAGAAAAAAATAGCTTGTTCTAACCTTTTGCTGAGAAGGATGTGGATTTGGTATTAAGGGTGTAAGGGAAAGCACAAAAGATTGCTCTCTCCTATGGTAACAGCAGTGGTACTTAGAGCTGCATAAGGCTTTTTAGTCAACACTGCTTTCAAGATGTAATCTCTTCTGCTTGAATATTTCCCTTACCCCCGGTTAATAGATTAATACCCCTAGAGTAGGGGTTTGCAAACTGCGGTTCAATAGCCATATGCAGCTCTTTTGGTACATACATGGGGCTCTAAAGTAAAACTGAAACACTTTAAAGTATATTATTAAAAAATTGGTAATTTCATTTGTTTTTAAAATATTTATGGCTCTCACATAAGTTTTAAATTTTTGAGGTACCGGATTGGCTCTTCCATCTCCAAAGTTTGCTGGCCCCTGCCTTAAATTGTTAGGGCCAGAAGGTACATTAGAGATTATCTGGTCTGTTTTCTTATTAACTCAGGTTAGAAATTTAAAATAGTTCACTAAATATTATTTAATTATCTCCTCTGTGCCTGGCTGTGGGCTAAGCATTGGGCTGTATATTTGTTCAGGTAGACTAGAGAAACAAATTCATGGACACTTGTGTGTATAAGACAGTGCTTTATATAAAAGAGCAATTGTATATTGAGAAAACATCCCAGCCCAGTCTCGATCAAGTCCATAAGTCTGATAATTAGCTCATGTGTCTGATACCAGACTGTAAATTCCTCTTCAAACTCACACAATACATGCAATGATGCAGAATGCAGAAAGATCACAGGCCAGTGGATGGAAAGTCTTGTGGATCCAGTGGTGGTAGAAGCTCCCCAGTGCTGTCATAGGTCTGCACGTGGATCCTCCATCTCCAAGGCTCAGATTCCAGGGTTCCATCAGTATAGCTCGATGTGGCTTCTCAACAGGAATGTCTTACAGGGAGAAGAGTGTGTGTCTGACCTCCAGTGAGCTATTATCTCCTTTGTCACTCCAAATGAAGTCATTAAGCTGCGACCTGATTGATAGGCTAACCTCCACCCCTTCAATCTTAATAGTTTCAAGTTGACACCAGAAAATGGCTGACAAAAGGCTGAAGGTCCTGCCCTGGCTTGAGGCAATGCAGCCAGATAAATAGCTAGATAAGTCAACTGAACTAACACAGGCTGGACCATAAAGTTGGCAGTTCAAACCCACCAGCTGCCCTGTGGGAGAAAGATCAGGCTTTCTGCACACATAAAGACTTAGGGCTTTGGAAACACTGAGGAGCAGTTCTCCCTTATCCAGAGTCAGTATGAGTCATAATTGATAATTGTGTCAGGCATAAAGTGGCTCAGTTTTTTAGGAACTCACAGTGGGAAGCTGGAGACTAGCAGATGACCACGATTTGGTAAATAGAAGGCGGCTTCAAAAAGTTTGTGGAAAAATGGATTGAAAAGATAATGCAACTTTACCACAAACTTTTTGAGCTCCCTTCATATAGGATAAATGTATAGGGTGCTCTTTCAGCACAGGAAGGGGGCACTAAATATAGGGAAGTCTCCACAGGAAGAATTCTAGGAGAATAGGTCTTAAATCCATTTTGAAAGATGAGTAGGTATTATTCAAGCCAGGGAGATAGACATGAATGATGGGAATATACAGTTTACCAAAGGAATAGCAAGATCTTGATATGGATGAAAAGTACAAAGTAGAAGGAAGGTACATTGACAAGAAGTGCAGTTGGAGAGATCAAGGCCAAGTCAAGAAGACCCATTTTTGTGATGCTGAGGGATCTGGATTTTGTCCAGCAGTGTTTTAAAGTTTTAAATAGGGGCACGAAATGACAAGTTTTGCAAGACAAATTTTGCATTTTTTCAACGATCTCTGGAAATGGAGGACAGGTTGAGAGAGTTTATCACAGAAACAATTGATTTCTGTCACTGTCAAAATGATCTAGTTGAGAAATGTAAAAGACTGGATGAAACACTGGCTTTTATTGGATGACCAACAAATCCATGGGACAAATCCACCCACCATCTTTTTTGTAAATAAAGTATGATTGGAACATAAACGTTCATTTACATATGGTCCTTGGCTACTTTCAACAGAGACCACAGAGTCTACAAAGCTTAAATATCTGGCCGTTTAAATACAGTATGCTAATGCCAGCTGTAGCCAGCCTTTCTTGAGAATGCCCATGTGTCGGTGAAAACGTCACTCCCTGTGATGGCATAATCATATTCTCTCCATGAAAGGTGGCCTTCCCTCATAATCCAGGCAGGAAGATGAAGTAAGCAGACTCCGAACAGGAAGCGGTATATAGCTAATTCAGGAAGGGGGGTATCAGGTCTGGATAGGAGGTGAAACAAAGGAAGGACTTCAAGATGGCATCTGTTTGAGTGATATTTATTTTTCCTTAATTCTCTTTGTTTCAGAGGGACAAGAGATCAGTATTTGTGGGAAATCTCCCTTACAGTAAGTCTTTTTACACAAACTACCTACTTATTATTAAAATAATGGGGGGATTAAAATTGATTGATGATTTAAGGCTGTAAGACTGAATTTAAGAAGGGTGCAGCACAAATGGACGCATTTTCAGGGCACTGTTTACAGGATAGTGAAATAAAGGCAGCTTTCTGCCTGTGTGGAGTCAGTCTCAGACACCCACAGGGGCAGTTCTGCCCTGTCCAATGGGGTCACTGTTGTTGGGCATGGACTTGATGTCAGTGAGGTTTTTTGTTGTGTTCTTTTCATAGAGTTGCTTTGAGTCAGAATTGATGGCAGTAAAATATGTGTTTGTTTTCTGTGTAAATCACTTTATTAGTAAAAAGATCTAGCTTTCTAATAATATTCCAAGTTGTAACTTCTGTTTTGACTGAATTTGATTTTAGAAATTGAAGAATCTGCTGTGGAAGAACACTTTTTGGATTGTGGAAATATTGTAGCTGTGAGAATTTTGAAAGACCAAGTTACTGGAGTCGGCAAAGGTTTTGGCTATGTGCTGTTTGAGGTATGGCGAGTCGCACATTGTCACTATCCTTTGAAAACAAACTGGAAGGGATTTTTATTACCATTTCATCTAGTAACATAACTATCATTATCACCTCCAAACTCTTATCTTAAGAAAACTTGAGTTCATAATCTACTGTTCTAAATTATAGGTGCTATAAAAGCACCTCAAACATAGATGTTCTAGTTCACTCTTTCTTCATGGTCTTATTAGACTGACTATATTCTGGATATTGGATGTGGAAGGTATTACAACTCTCAGTTTCAACTTTCCTTTCTGTAAATGATGACAATAATTGAGTTTGCTCAGTGAGAAGAAAATTTCAGTCTTTTTACAAAATTTGCTTTATTTAGTTGATGAAATAGAGACTTTCTAAGAAACAAACATACTCAGAGAGCATGTACATTTTCCGTCCCTTAGCAATCATCAATATGTTCCCTTATGGAGACGTCGGACAGGGCAAGATATGACAAAATACCCATTTATAAACTATCAAGGGCTCA